CTGCCACGCCGGGAGATAGAATCGAACCGGCGCCCTCTGGATTGCCAGTGAGTCCAGTGAGCTCACCAGAGAACAGCTGAGAGCAAGACAGCCTTGTTAATGCATTGCACTATTTAGTGCCTCTTTTTATTATTGCATTTACAAACTAGTGAATGAGAAGTATTAACAGTATGTCAAGGCTATACGCGAGATCTCTGTCCTTGTTCCAGCCTAAAGTGTGTATCTGGTGCAGTATATAACATCAGCGCTAGGGAGACAAAGGCGGCCGGGCGTGGTGCTGTTCACCCACCCCTGCGTGTGCCGTGCCGGCCTTCATAGGTGCTACTCGCTAACAACACTTGCCCCTACAGCCTGTTAAAGGCTACTAACTCGCCTTTTGCCCGTGCAAGGACGGGTGTATTGCAGTGAATCTGAAACTTGCAAGCGAAAAGCAGACCGCGAGGTGATATTCATTGCATCAATTGGCGTGCAATTTGTAAGGCCGCGGTGGCACAGACTTATTTCATTTAAAGGTTATAATCCCTTGATCATTATGACGTCATTTTTACTTCTATGTCTCAACAGCGTGACGGAGATCACGTGACGTGAGGCTTCTGCCTTTGTAGTGAGGGTTGTGAGCTGACGCCGAGGAGGGGGGAGGAGGCGCCTCGACCCCCCATGTGGAGTGACGTCAGCCGCTAATTATTAATGAGGGGGGGGGGGGTCCATGCGGATGACATCACCTGTTCATGATTATTAATGAGGGGGGCTTGCCGACCTGGAGTGAAGTCACGCGCGTTGCACACAGACATTCTTGGCTCATTATAGTAGTGAATGTTGGTGGCAGTGGGGCGGCGGTGGGGTTAGATCTTTGGCCTTGTCGTAGTCTTGCTTTGGCGTGCGGTAAGAAGGCGTGAAAGAGTTTCCCGGAGAAAGTCCACACACGTCTCTCTCTCTCTCAGTTTATCACGAATCGTAACACGGGAGCAAAGATCGATGCCCCCCCCCACCCTGCGCCCCCCACTGCTCATACATTAAACCAGTTGACCTGCTCGGTTACAACAACCTCTGACGTTGTCACCTTCGCGATGCAGCAACGAACACTGTGTCGCAGCGCGGTGCGCACGTACGGCGTTCGAATAAATGACACAGAGGCAGAGTTCACCCGTGTAGCCTGTAGCAGACTCTTGGGGCAAGTGCCGTTAGCGGGTAGCAGCACCTATGAAGGCCGGCACGGTGGCACACGAGGGGGTGGGTGGGCAGCACCACGCCTGAGTGGCGATGTTTACACACCGCACCAGGTACTCATTTGAGGCTCAGTCTACCTAGGGGAGGCCCAGGACCTGTTCAGAGAATCGTCGCTACCGGTGTTGGAATCGACCCCGGGTCACTGGGCTCGTAGCGCACTGCGCGAACCGCTACGTCACCGCTCCCAGGACGTACGGCGTTGAAGTAATAACACAGACCACCACCACCATCATCATCATCATCATAATTTGTCACCAATCTATCGATCAATCCACTTGCTGTGGTCGCTGCCACGGCTCTCAAAATCCATCAAGCGAGACGCCCCGCTCCATCGCCCTGCGGTTGACGTCCTCTCTGTTTAACACGTGGTGGTAGTAGTAGTAGTGGTGGTCGTAGTGGTAGGGCTCTCTCGACCAATATTATACGTAACAAAGGATTGTTTTTGGGTTAGATCGCGTAAATATCGACGTGTCGTTAAACCCGCCACCACCCGGCGACACAGCCGCCAGCTGGTAATGTTTGTCACGTAGAAACTAAGTGCCAATTGGTTGCTACTTCAGCGCACCGGCGTGTTGGAAAGTAAGCCGATAATGACATCTTACAATAATTATTGTAGTACGACATTATCGCAAAAGTGATTAACAACCAGCATCAGGCGATTTTAACAGAATTGCCAAGAAGTCTTCCTGTTTCTGTCCCATCACTCTCTCTTCTCCCTCTATCCCGGGCGTGTTTTCTCTCTCTCCTTTGGCTGCTGTTCCGTTGTTAGTCCTGACCAGAGGCCGGCAAACCTTGCGGGCAGCCGTTTTTTTTACTTAAATCTTCACCCACAATTTAACGTAAAGATAATTGTTTCAATATGGCTGGGAATGGGGGGCCACTATGGAATATCTTGGTGACAACAACATGTACAACAGTCAAATTGTATTCGTGAAGAATAACTAAGGGGGGGGAGGAGGGGGGGGGGGTTGATGGAAAAACGAAATAGACGCAGTTTATTCCATCACCAATCTTCTTTAATCAAGCCAGTATGTGTTTGTCGTCTGCTGTATACCTACTGCTGCAGGCGTGTCTGTGTCTAAGTGGCTCTGCGTTCGGACGCCGACTCGCGAACTCTTTTGGTCACGAAGTCAAAACCGATGCGTCTGCCACCTCTTCGTCGAAAGGTCGCCGACCCCTGGGTCTTGACCCGCCGCCCGTCGCCCCCTCCTCGTCGCGACGACGACGAGGAGGGCCCAACCAAGGCCGCACGGCGCCTACCCTGGCACGGGTTGAATGTCACTCTTCGGACGGAGTGCGTGTTCTCTCGTCCGCGCGTTCACCGTCCCCTGTCGCGGCATACGCGTTAACGCATCCACGCGTGAACCTCTCACCGCTGGCGGAGGGGCAGCCCCAGCAGGAGGGAGCTGCAGAGGTGGGGGGAGGGGTGCTGTAGTACAGGGGGGGGGGGGCTGTAGGGGGAGGGGGGGGGCTGTAGGGGGAGGTTTGTAGAGGGAGGACAGGGGCGGGGTGTATTTTTCCCAGACGTCACGAAACGCGTCCCAATCTAAATAAAGAATCAGTTCGTGCACATGGCGATGATTTATCGATCTTTAAATAAATCGATCGACGGCCGATATCTTTGATGCCAGACCGCATGAGTAAAATTCCCATTTGCTTGTAAGCAGGTTGAGGTGAAGGAGGGTTGTACGACACACAATTTCCATTTTGGTGTTGACCCACGCTGCCCTGACCCAAATATAAATTATTAATCACAACATTGATCGCGAAAGCGTACTGGACACGTGCTAAGTAGGTGCAACGCCGTTGAACGTCGATTAGAATCGTTACCGCCTCCGCCCCGCGTCCTAGCAACACGTGGAATTCACTGTCGATGGTGACGGGGCGGTGACGTCACCCGAGCCATTGTTCGACACGCGGGTGACGTCATTGGCGGGGAGAGTTACGAGATGGGGAGGGATAGAGGGAGAGTGGGGAGGGAGAGAGGGGAGAGTTGGGGAGGGAGAGAGGGGAGGGAGGGGAGGGAGAGTGGGGAGGGAGAGATGAGCGAAAGAGGGATGGGGAGAGAGCGAGAGAGATGGGGGGGAGATGGGAGAGGAAGGGAGATGAGAGGTGGAGCAGAGGGGAGAGAGAGCGGGCGGGCTGAGTGTTGATGACGCTGTTGCTGCTGATGCAGCTGATGCTGACTCGGCACAGTGCCTACCGCCCATGACTCACCACTCACCCCACCTCACCCCCCCCAAACTCACCGCCCCACCAACATCCAATTCCACAAACAGGGCGGCGTGTTATGGAACCGGGCCCGTAAACACGTTCGTATAATATTCTTTGGTTCTTTCGGTAAAGTCACGTAGATAGAAAAAATAATACAGATAAAGTGAAAAAAAAATATCACAATGAATATATCCACGTTCAGCAGTTACCTCCATACACGTAAATTCGATAAACGTCCGGAGAGACAAAGGTGGCCGGGCGTGGCTCTTCAAGCACCACCCCCCCACCCCACACGCGCGCCGTGCCGGCCTTCATAGGTGCTCTCTAACAGCGCTTAGCCCCAGCAGTCTATGAGGCTGCACGGATAATGGTTATGTTTGTGTATCTCTGTGCGTGTGTATGGGGAGCGCCCTGCGCTGCGAACCTGGTGATCCGGGATCGATTCCCGCTCATGGCCAACAGCACCAGTGACTGTTATCTGAACCGATTCTGGGCCTCCCCTAGGTCGACTCAGCATCAAATTAGTACCTGGTGCGGTGTGTAGTAAACATCGCCACTGGGGAGACAAAGACGTCTGAGCGTGGTTGCTGGCCCGTGCCGTGCCGGCCTTCATAGGTGCTCGCCAAACAGCACTTGCCCCAACAGTCTGCGCAGGCTATACGGGGGAATCTTTGTGTGAGTGTGGGGAGCGGTGGCGCAGCGGTTAGCGCGCTGAGAACACCCCCCCCCCCCCCCCCCCCCCCCCACTGTGAGCCCGGCGACGAATATCTGAACCCTGAACTGTGAACTCTGAACCCTGGTCCGGGGGCCATCCCCCTAGTTCAGGGGTCGGCAAGCTGCAGCTCTGCAGCCGCACGTGGCTCTTTGACGACTGCTTCGTGACGTAATGTGTGTGTGATGTGTGTGTGTGTGATGTGTGTGTGTGTATGTAATGTGTGTATGTAATGTGTGAATGTAATGTGTGTATGTAATGTGTGTGTGATGTGTGTGTGATGTGTGTGTGTGTATGTAATGTGTGTATGTAATGTGTGAATGTAATGTGTGTATGTAATGTGTGTGTGATGTGTGTGTGGTGTGTGTGTGTGTGTATGTAATGTGTATGTAATGTGTGTATGTAATGTGTGAATGTAATGTGTGTATGTAATGTGTGTATGTAATGTGTGTGTGATGTGTGTGATGTGTGTGTATGTAATGTGTGTGTGATGTGTGTGTATGTAATGTGTGAATGTAATGTGTGTATGTAATGTGTGTTTGTGTACATATTCATGGCCACTGCGGCTCTTGAAATATTGAGTTCCGTGCCGAACAAAAAAAATGCCTCTCGTTATTTTTATTGCCGGCTCCTCTGTCCCTGCCCGACTCCGCCGCTACTGGACATCCGTGAAAAAGAGCTTCATAGCTCACCGGAGTCCTCCAGCACAAACAAATATTCTATTCTGACTTAAAACTTAAGTGAGCATCTCGTGCCACGTGTAAACATCGCTCCGCCCCCCCTTCCCACTCGCGTCCCCGTAACCCGCGCGTCCGCTGCGTGTCTCTCACTCGCTGCTCGCCCCAAGGTGGCCGCGGTGTGCGCAAGCGCAAGGCCTCTCCGGAGCCCGACTGCGACCCCGGCGGGCCCCACTCGGGGATCTCCTCCGGCATCCCCTCTTCGGTGGCTGCGGGGGTGGCGTCGTCGGCGGGGGGCGTCGGCGGGCCGACCAAATTGGAGGGGGCCGCGTCGGACGACGGCCCTGGCGGCCCGCCGGGGCCGCTCGCTCACGGCTCGCGGCCCCCCCCCGTCCCGTGGATCCCGGCGTGCGAGGCCCTGAAGCTGACGCTCAGCTCCAACGCATTCCCCGGCTCATCGTCCACCGCCGCTGCGTTGCAGCAGCAACAAGCGTCGAGCAGCAGCGGCGGCGGCGGCGGCGGCGGCGTCGCGGCCACCGCGTCGTCGTCCGACGGGAACCGCACCACGCCACCCGACTCGGTCGCCTCGTCCAACGGGACCAACGGCGCCGCCGCCGCCGCCTCTTCCTCCACCGCCACTTCCTCCACTTCCTCCTCGTCGTCGTCATCAACGGCCGCTGCCTCCGCGTTGGCGACCCTCATGTCGTCGTCGTCGTCGTCGTCGTCGTCGGCTGCGGCGGCGGCGTCGTCCGCGGCGGCGGCGGCGGTGGCGGCGGTGGCGGCCGACTCGATGCAAGACGAGCCGTCGCCCGGCAAAGACGGCGGCTCCAACGCCGTGCACTCCACCACCACCACCACGGCGGTGGCGGCGGGTGGCGCCATGCGGGGGGCGGGCAGCCCCGGCTCTCCCGGCAGCAGCGGCAGCGGCAAGAGGCTGGCCGGCGCGGGCGAGCAAAGTGGCGGCGGCGGCGGCGGCGGCGGCGGTGCCAACAACGCCAACGGATCGGCGCAGGGCAGCAACGGCAGCGGCGGCAGCAACGGGGTGAACAACAACGGCGTGCCTGCCGGGAGCGGCGGGGCGGGGGGCCCGGACTCTGCGTCGGCGGGTGCCGGTGGCGCGGGGGGCCCCCTGTGCTGCACCAACTGCCACCAGCGGCTGGAGGACACGCACTTCGTGCAGTGCCCGTCGGTGGCGGCGCACAAGTTCTGCTTCCCGTGCTCGCGCGACAGCATCAAGAAGCAGGGCACGAGCAGCGGCGAGGTGTACTGCCCCAGCGGGGAGAAGTGCCCGCTGGTGGGCTCCAACGTGCCCTGGGCCTTCATGCAGGGGGAGATCGCCACCATCCTGGCCGGCGAGATGACCGTCAAGAAGGAGAGGGACACCTGATGGTCGGGGGATCGTAGGATGGGATCGTCGGATGTGTTGGAGGATTTGCATGGATCGTGGTGGCGGAAGTTGTGGGGGCACGTGTCGGTTGTGACCGGAGTGATGGATCTGCGTGGTTGAGATTGCGTGGCTGCAATTGCGTGCGTGATTGAGTGATTGGGATTGCACGGTTGGGATAGTGTAGTTGGTCTGTGTGCTTGAGATGGCATGGTTGGGATTGCAAGGTTGGGATTGCGTGGTTGAGATGGCAAGGTTGGGATTGCGTGGTCGGGATTGCACGATTGGGATTGTGTGATTAGGATTGCATGGTTGAGATTGCGTGGTTGGGATTGCGTGGTTAAGATGGCATGATTGGGATGGCGTGATTGAGATTGCGTGGTTAGGATTGCACTGTTGGGATCGCGTGGTTGAGATTGCACGGTTGAGATTGATGGCAATCCAATTGCCAGCCGGTTGTGGGCAGTCGCGCACCCAGTTGGAATGATATTAACCGAGAGCAACACCCAGAGGCAGCAAGTAACCGAGGTGGAAACAACGTTTTTGCTGCCGTCACCGAGCTCAGGCCCAAAAGCGTCGAGCGGCCAGCAACAATCGTCACGAGCATCGACACCCCCCCCCCCCCCCCCTTGTGGAGCGGCGCTACGGGACTCACGAAACGCCCGTCGCTCGAACGCTTTTCTTCCGCATGTAGCTCAGTCTGGCGGGCACCGCCGCCGGAGGGCCTCTGGCGGTGGAGCGAGCGAGCGGCCGGTGCTATCGGGGAGGTCGCCGGGTCACACGTCCCCTCCCCACCCCTCCCTTTTCCCCGGTGGGTTTGGGGTGGGGTGGAGGGGGCCGATAAAAACGAGCACCACTTTTTTCAGCAACTTCAACGGCGGTTGTCCTGTCGTAAAGACTCTCGCTCCCCCGCCGCCCGCCCGCCCGCTCACCCGCCATAGGAATGTGGAATTTCCTGCCACCGGCTCAGGGCCGCAAACGGGAGATCACTTTCGACCGCTTGCCACCTTCAATATGTAAATCAGGAAGCGAATCTTAAAAATGGGTCTGCAACGTACCACGTTTGGGGGGGGGGGGGGGGCGGCCCATTTCCGCTTTGCCCCCCCCGCCCCCACCCTCGGGCCCCCCCCCACCCCACCCCACCCGTCCCTTGAGTCTTGTTCTTTGTCCGGAATATTTCCGTTCCAGTTGGAGTGGGACTCAGAAGGCGGCGGATGAGTAGGATGATGATGAAGAGGATGATGAGGAGGAGGATGGAAGACGTTTGTGATTTCGTTGGCTTTCAAACGCCACACCACGACCCCGAGTGAACGACGGCGACGGTGGCGATGGCTCGTTGGAGGGTGGCAGGGTCGAGTCTGCTCCTGCTCCTGCTCCATCATCATCATCATCGCCGCCGCCTCCGGCTCTCCGCGGTGTGGCTCATGTGACCACGGCAATTCGTGGGCGACGACGACGATGGCCGGCCGTGCCATTGAAGATGATCCACACCCGCAACCCCCTAACCGCCCCGTCCGCAGGTACGTGGAATTTCCGCAAAACACGCAACTTGAGCCGAGGGACAGCCACCCCGCGCGGGAGACAGAGCGACGGGACTGGCCCCTGAACGCCAGTGGATCCGTTCCATCGCGGGAGATCGCACCGTCAGCCTGAGAAGCGGAGGCCTTCATCCAGCAGTGGACTGACCATGGCTGGGTGATGGTGACGATGAGCGATAGATACGCAAGATTTTGTTCGCCGGGTGTGAAACCGGCTCACAACAACAAAAAACTGCACGAACGCCCGTTGTTGTTGTCGTCGCTTGTTGTTGTTATGGCCCCGAAAAAACTTGACGACGCCCACAGCTGCCAAACGGAGAGAGACTCTCCAGCTGAAGTGCGGAGATAAGGTTCGACTCCCGGCCGGCGAGCGAACACCGGCGAGAGCAGGAACCCACGCGACCACGAACGAGAGCGCTGGCGGGCGGGCGGGTGGGATGGGGTAGGGGGGCACGTGTACATTTCTCCAAGCGGTGATGACGTCGTGCGCGTGTACATAAGATGCGAGAGTGGCGTCAACACGAGAGTGGGAGCGTGCACGCGCCCGCCGTGCACCCGCGCGTACACTCGCACGCGCGCTCACGTGAACGCCCCGTACACATCGTACACTACACGCGCACGCGCGCGCAAGCGCACACGGACAAAAGGAAACTTGGGTCTGGTTTAAAAAAAAACTTGTTCTGATTTGTGTTGCTGTTTATATTTTTGTGTGGGGGGTGGGGCAGAGGCAGGGGGGGGTGGGGGAGGCACGGGGGGGGGGGGTGTTTTGATTTAATTATTTTTGTTGGGGGGGTGGGTGGGGGGGGGGTCTGGACAGAGGGACAGGGCGAGCTGTGGGTTGAGATGGAAGCAACGCGGGGATGTGGTTCGGATTTAATTACTCATTTTTATTTGAAGTCAAAATGAGGGGGGAGGTGGGAAAGGCTGTTGGGGAATCGGGTGAAAGAGTGGGTCAGGGGTTGGAGGTTCACGTTGCGATTGCCCTGAATGATGGAGGAAGGTGGGCGGTGGGCGAGGTGCCGGGTACTGCTGTGTCCGTGCGTGTCTGCGCGTGCCCACGAGTGTCTGCGTTGGCGCACCCCTGTCTCTCCGTGTTTGTGCGTCTGCGCTCCGTGTGTCCGCGTTGCATCTACCGGCGCACGTTCACGCGAGACCTGCGTGTGTTGCGTGCCGTGCCTGCGTTCGCGTCGACAGGTGGCGCGGTGTTTACCGCACTGGCGCCACAAACCCAGCCACCCTAGTTCGATTCCCGCTCACAGTCAACACCGGTGACGAGTCTGTGTAATGCATTCGTCTTGAGCCCCCCCCCCTCTAGGTCGACTCAGCCTTAAATAAATACCTGGCACAGTGAGTAAACATCGGTGACACAAAGGCGGCCAGGCGTGATGCTGGCCACACCATCCCTTCATGTGACGTGCTGGCCTGGAAAGGTTCTCGCCAAGAGCTCTTGCCCCAACAGACTGGTCAAGGGCTATATGGGGGACCTTTGTTTTATCGCTGCCCACGTGTCTATCTGGAGTGTCGATGAGTGTGGGTCGCCATTCACGTGTGTGTGTCTGCGTGTGCCTGCGTTCGTGTGTCTGTGTCTACGTTCACGTTTGCGAGCGCGGGTGAGCATGAGCGAGCGAGTGTGCGAGCGAGTTTCTTGCTCCCCGCACTCCTCATCCGTTCGTCGCCCCTCCTGACTCGGCTTGCGAGTGACCACGTGGCTCGCATTCGTCTGTGACCACGTGAGCTCCCATTCGTTTGTGACCACGTGGCTTGCCTTCCTTTGCGACCACGTGGTTCGCATTCGTCCGCCTCCATCGCCGTGCGTTGCACCGCTAGCGTACGTGGCAGGCGGATCGTACAAATCATAACAATAACAACGGATAATAATAATAAAAACATGTAAAAACATTACGTTCGCATTCCTCTGCTTTATTTTCTCAATTGGGAAATGCAACTGCAGCGGTGAGCGAAGAGTAAATCGACACGGACACCCCCTCCTGAAGCCCCTCACCTCGTAGCCGGCAGCGGGACCTCGACATTGGAATCGAGCTCTGGAACGTATTGCCATCACCTGAAGAAGACCGCTGGTGTTGCGATCGAAACGTCGCGGGTTTTGTACTTTTAATTTAGATTTTTGTTTTCTATCTACGTGACTCTACCGAAAGAACCAAGAATATAGTAGTAACTACTGATGATAGTAGTATCCACTAACTATAGTAGTAACTACTAACTCTACAGCAGTATCTACTGACTCTATAGTAGCATCTACTGACTGTGGTAGTATTTACTGACTGTAGTAGTATCTACTGACAGTAGTAGTATCTACTGACTGTATAGTAGTATCTACTGACTGTAGCAGTATTTAATGACCGAAGTGGTATCTACTGACTGTAGTAGTATCTACTGACTCTACAGTAGTATATGCCGACTCTATAGTAGTAAATACTGACTCTACAGTAGTATCTAATGACTATAGTAGCATCTACTGAATCTATAGTATCTATTGACTCTATAGTAGTATCCACTGACTATAGTAGTAACTACTAACTCTATAGTATCTGCTGACTCTATAGTAGTATCTGCAAACTCTATAGCAGTATCTGCTGACTCTATAACAGTATCTACTGATTATACCAGTATCTACCGACTATAGCAGTAACAACTCACTCTACAGTAGTATCTACTGAATCTATAGTAGTATCTATTTACTCTATAGTAGTATCTACTGACTATAGTAGTAACTAGACTCTAGAGTAGTATCTTCTGAATCTATAGTCGTGTCTATTGACTCTATAGTAGTATCTACTGACTATAGTCGTAACGAATAACTATATCAGTATCTGCTGACTCTATAGTAGTATCTGCTGACTCTATAGCAGTATCTGCCGACTCTATAGCAGGATCTACTGACTCTACAGTAGCATCTACCGACTCGGCAGTAGTATCTCCCGACTTTACAGTAGTATCTACTGACTCTTCAGTAGTATCTATCGACTCTATATAAGAGTATATATCGACTCTATAATAGTATCTAGTAAGAAAACAATGTGCCGTTGTGAGGCCTAGTCCCATGGAGAGCTCCCGGCCTTGTCTAGATCTCCCAGCCGGCTGAGGTGGCACCTTGGCAAGCTGGGGCTGGGCTGCTATAACCCCCTCCCACCGCCCGCTCTATAGTAGCGGTAACTACAAACTCTACAGTAGTATCTACCTACTCTACAGTAGTATCTACCCACTCTGTAGTCGTATATACCGACTCTATAAAAGTATATATTTACTCTATAATAGTGTAGAGAAGGGATGTACGCAGTGAGCGTAGTTGAGAGGGTGCATTTGGGGACAAACAGGTGTGAGCATTGGGGCACGGAGTAGGTGCTGCAGAGGCGGAAGCTGGAGGCGATAACTAGCGAGTGCGAGAGGCGCTGTGGAGACACCAGCTTAAGAGGGGGCACGTGAGGACTCGGAATGAGGAGGGGTATATAAGCGGGAGTGTGCGTGAGTAGCGGGAGGTGTTGTTCGGGGACCAAGAGAAGAGACGTCTCGTCACTGCCGCTCGGACCGTCAACGGGACCTCGCCCCTCACTTCGGCGCTGGGCGGGTGTTGGCTGAACCCCCCGCCCGGGACAGAGCAATGAGTGGGTGCGAGGCAGCATAGGTGAGGGCAAGGAGCAGCGGCGAGATAGAGACGAGTAGGTGCGGGGCAGAGTAGATGAGAGCAGGTAGGGGGAAGTGGCGTTGTGTGATCACAGTGAGAGGCAGTCATAGGCGTGCCTACAACTGTTGCGAGAATAGGATTAATAAATTGTAAGCAGGTGATCTGTTACTCCGTGTCAGTGTGAGTAATTTGATACACTACAATAGTACTAACTTCACAGTGTAGTGGTGAGGCCTAGTCCCATGCAGAGCCCCCGGCCTCGCCTAGATTGCCCAGCCGGCCGAGGTGGCACCTTTGCATGCTGGGGCTCAGCTGCTTTCCCCCCCACCATCCCCCCGCCCGCTCTACAGTAATAGTATCTAAGGGCTATAATCGTAGTATCTACCGACCCAATAGTATTAAGTGCACTAATTGGGATGGGGGGACATCACACTTTGAATAATTTACCTCAGCGTTATGTGTATTTTTTTGGGGCATTTTTAACGCGGATGACAATTTCCCCCCCCCCCCCCCCCACGGATCGCGCGTGTGTGCGTTGCTAAGGCAACCACCCTCACGGAGCCAGCTTTCTCGAGCATGCGCAGAGGCGTGCTCTGGTGCCACCCTGTGTGTATGAAAGGAATAAATTGTTAATTTAGCTACTTTAAAGTCGACAGATGTGAAATACCAATAGCGCTTGTTTGTCCCGGGGCATACGGCGTGGTATCCGTTGTACTCTTTCGATCCGTAAACCCCACAGCTTGTCAGTTAGAAAACGTCTCAAGGTACCCGCGCAGACAGACACGCAAAAAAATAACTTATACTGGTAGGGACCTCCTGGTTACTACACCAGCAGCCCACAGGGGATTATTGTGTCCGTCCGTCCGTCTGTCGTGCATCCAAAAATGGGAGGGGTGGGGCTGGGTGGAGAGGGGAGGGGCTGGGTTGGGAGGGAGGGGCTGGGTGGGGAGGGTGGGGCTGGGTGGGGGGTGGGGAGGGGCTGGTCACCCCGTGGTGCCCTTATAAAACTCAACGTTTAACCTACTCACGCCGGCTTGTGCCCGCCCTCACAGTCGGGCATATTGTGCGGAATACACCACGTGGTGCCGCCGTTGTTGACCCTGGCCATTGACTGAGCAACCCAACGTGCCTACCAGCTCCCTCCGCAGGAGAATGTGTTATAGGTAAGATGCTACTGGCGCCGCACCAGCTTAATCCTGCACTGAGTGCGCTAACCACTACGCCACCGCTGCCCATACCATTGCCGCACACGCGTGGCCACACAAATAAAGACAAAGATCCCCCAGTTTAGCCTTAACAGACTGGGCAAGTGCTGTGAGCGAGTAGCTTCTATGAAGGTGTGGACGGCACGCCCGGTCGCCTTTATCGCCCCACTGATGATGTTTACACACCGCACCAAGGTACTCGTTTGAGGCCGAGTCTACCTAGGGGAGGCGCAGACGTGGGGAGCGAGATGGAGAGAGACAGGTATAGAGATCTGGAGAAATAGACCACATCTGGGGAGAGAGCTGAAAAAAGACTGGGGGAAATATGGAGGGGGTGAAGGAGAGTGAGGGGCCGTCCATAAATGACGTCACGCGATTTTGGATGATTTTTGACCCCCCCCCCCTCGTCACACGGCGTCACAAAAAGTCAGAACCCTCCCCTAAAATATGACGTCACAAAGCTCTGCCCCCCCCCCCAACCCAAAATAAAACATGCTTCAAATCGCTTTAAACTATTGTCATTGTAGTGCGTATTTAATGTGGCGCTGCACTCGGATGTTGTAGGAAAAAACATTGATTAAAAAGTATATTTAATTAAGTAGAACGTGTTGTCTATGTTTATTTAAAGTTGCGCATTTTGATGTGACGTCACATTTCTCAAACACCCCCCCCCCTCGTCACACATCGTCACAAATGTCTGACCCCACCGCCTAGGTGCGTGACGTCATTCATGGACGGCCCCTGAGAGAGAGATAGCGAAAGAGACGAATATGGAGGTGGAGATAAGCAGAGGGTTGGTTTATAAACTCGACAGTATGTAGGTGAAAGAGAATTGGAGAAGTATGAAAGGAGAAACTGAGAGGCCGTTAATTTTGGAGAG